TGTACTGAATCAGTGGTGTGGTGCTGTACTAGTGTTGGTGTGGTGCTGTACTAGTGTTAGTAGTGCTGTACTGAGTGTTAGTGTGGTGCTGTACTAGTGTTGGTGTGGTGGTACTGTGTTGGTGTGGTGCTGTACTAGTGTGGTGCTGTACTAGTGTGGTGCTGTACTAGTGTGGTGCTGTACTTCAACGTTAAGAATCACTGTACTATTAAGCATCCTGTCAGTATTCAGACTCATTATAGTGCCAAGCATCACATGACCATTAAGAATCAACTTATGTTAAGAATCGTGGTCAGAATCACCTTAACATATGGAATAGCTTACGCCTTTGCAATACTCAGAATCATATCGTGATAAGAATCATTGGTTATTTTTAGTTCACTTTAGTGTGGGTGGTAGAATTTGTGGTAAGAATCATTTTAAAATTAAGAATCATATTGGTGCTAAACTCAGTATTAGAATCATATGAGTTGCTTATTTACTTACCTCAGTTAGAATCATATTGGTGCTAATATACCCAAAGAATCACATTTTTCCTGATATTAAACTAGTGTTAAGAATCATTTGGTGCTGATAATATTAATAAGAATCACAAGTGTTAATATCACCTCAGTGTTGAGAGTCATAGATGTCAATATTAATTCTAAGAATCACATGGGTTCTAATGTTACTGTTAAGAATCACATTGACGGGGGGAAGAACTACACGCCTACATAAGGAATCAGATTATTGCTTCAAATTACACATATACACTGAGAATCACATACGTGCTAAGAATCACATCTATACTTAGAATTACATTGGTTTAATTACAATGGAACTAAGAATCCCAAGAGAAGACGTGATTTTTGGGAAGGGAAGTGAAACAATGGAAATATTTTTTAAGAATCATCAGTGAAGAGAATCGATCTGTCTAGGGAAATAAGTTTGAGTACAGTAGTAAGAATCACACTAGAATTAGGAACCATGTTGTTTAGAATCACCTTTAAGTTTACATTATTTTAAAGATCTGTAGAATTAAGAATCACATTAATTTTAAGTCTATATACAGTATGTAGTAATGTACTTGTAAGAATCATAGTATTAAGAATCACTTATTTGTAAAAGTTTTGCTACTATGAATAATTTTAAGGCTAAGAATCACTTATTTGTAAAAGTTTTGCTACTATGAATAATTTTAAGGCTAAGAATCACTTATTTGTAAAAGTTTTGCTACTATGAATAATTTTAAGGCTAAGAATCACTTTAATATTAAGAATCATAGAGGTAAAGTTCATTTAGTAGCAGGAATCATAGCAGATAAGAATCATTCCAGTCGTAAGAATCATTCCAGTCGTAAGAATCATTGTAGATAATTAAGATTCATATTATCATTTAGAATCATTTTAGCAGTAATAATCACAGTGTTAAGAATCATAGTAGATTTGTAAGACTAATATTAATGCTAAGAATCACTCGTGTCACTGATTCTAAACATAACCTTTGAAAATAACATCAGTGTGTGTGATGATTCTCGGGCTACTAATGACACACATTAAGAAGAGAAATAATGATGATACGTAATGAATAAAGTTATTGTTATTATTGTTATATTATTATTATTATTATTATTATTATTATTATTATTATTGTTATTATTATTATTATTATTATTATTGTTATTATTATTATTATTATTATTATTATTATTATTATTATTATTGTTATTATTGTTATTATTGTTATTATTGTTATTATTATTATTATTATTATTATTATTATTATTATTATTATTATTATTATTATTATCCAGTAATAATATACATATACAGTAATTAGTGTCTTTTGTGTAATTATACCCTTATTTATGAAGACCTAGGTGGTGGTATGCTTGAAGTATTGGCACTGTAGATGGTTAACTGGCTCTCTCTCACACACACACACACACACACACACACACACACACACGTTTCCAGTGTTAAGGTCACCAATTGTAGTGTTTGTTTACACACACCCACCGACACAAGAGCCCAGCGTGTGTGTACTTGCTCTCTCTCTCTCTCTCTCTCTCTCTCTCTCTCTCTCTCTCTCTTTATTGGGCACTCCCCCTACATCCTCGTGTAAGGTGAAGCGCAGAAGCGTTTACAGCGCTTAACAGGGAAGCATGCTAAGTTCATGCTTGCCTTATATCTCATGAGTTAAGGGCGTAGAAGCCTGAAGAGTCAAGGGCAAAGCCTGAAGAGTCAGGGTAGAAAAGAGTCAAGGGCGTGGAAGCCTGAAGAGTCGAGGGCGTAGAAGCCTGAAGAGTCAGGGCGTAGAAGCCTGAAGGGTCAAGGGCGTAGAAGCCTGAAGTCAAGGGCGTAGAAGCCTGAAGAGTCAAGGGCGTAGAAGCCTGAAGAGTCAAGGGCGTAGAAGCCTGAAGAGTCAAGGGCGTAGAAGCCTGAAGAGTCGAGGGAATGGTAATGAACAAAAGTTGAATTGAGTCTTTAATTTTTTGTTCACATTATCTTAGTTATTTGACTTTATAACAACTCCTTATTATTATCTTATTTATCTGGTAAAAACTGATAAATGGTGGAATGATAAATAAGAATAATGTTTTTGTTTATTTGTGAAAGTGTGTGTTAGTGTGTGGGAGGGGTAGAGAGTATGGGGGGAGAGAGGAAAGGAGGAATGGGAGGGAAAAGGAGGGAGAAAGAGGGAGGGGGTGGTAGGAGGGAAGGGCAGCTGCAGTGCCTTGTCTCGTGTGGGTATGAGGGAGGGATGAGGAACAAGGGGAGGAGTAGTACGGTACCGTCTTTATTATACCATAAATCCCAGAGGTCTGTCACTTGACTTCTGAGCCCGTCTAAAACTTGCCAGCACCAGACATGTCTTCCTTACCCTGCTCTTCTCTCCCTCCTTCCTCTTCTCTCCTCCTTCCTCTCCTCCCCCTCTTCTCCCACTCTCCACCCCCTCTCACCCCTCTCACCCCCTCCCTCCTCATCTAATGGTGTTTTACCTTAAAAAATCTTGTGTCTAAATCGCCTTTGTACTATGTGGATCAAGGGCTGTTTTGTAGACTGTGTTTATGTGTGTGCGTTTTGTAGACTGTGTGTGTGTGTGTGTGTGTGTGTGTGTTTGTGGTGGGTACAGTGGTGTTGTTGTGTGTGTGTATTTGGGAAGGCTGGTCTTTGTGTTTTGAAGTGTGTATGGTAGTGGTGTATGGTGGTAGTGGTGTATGGTGGTAGTGGTGTATGGTGGTAGTGGTGTATGGTGGTAGTGGTGTGGTGGTAGTGGTGTATGGTAGTAGTGGTGTATGGTGGTAGTGGTGTATGGTGGTAGTGGTGTATGGTGGTAGTGTTGTATGGTGGTAGTGGTGTATGGTGGTAGTGGTGTATGGGGAGTAGTGGTGTATGGTGGTAGTGGTTGTATGGTGTGGTAGTGGTGTATGGTAATGGTGGTTATGTGGTGGTGAGTGGTGTATGGTGGTATGGTGTATGGTGGTAGTGGTGTGTATGGTGAGTGGTGTATGGTGGTAGTGGTGTATGGTGGTAGTGGTGTATGGTGGTAGTGGTGTATGGTGGTAGTGGTGTATGGTGGTAGTGGTGTATGGTGGTAGTGGTGTATGGGTGGTAGTGGTGGTACTATAGCCATGACCCTCCACCTTCCCTCCCAACCATAAACTATCCTCCCCCTCTCCCTCCCCCCTCCTCCTCCCTTCCCCCCCCTTTGCACCGCTGTCTCTCGTTCCACTTTGCCTTTTCCTTTCTTTCTTTCTTTCTTTCGTCTCCTCATCGAACTTCATTCTTACTCCTACATTTCCATGTCTCAGTGCCTGTATCACCGTGTGTCTCAGTGCCTGTATCACCGTGTGTCTCAGTGCCTGTATCACCGTGTGTCTCGTGCCTGTATCACCGTGTGTCTCAGTGCTCACCGTGTGTCTCAGTGCCTGTATCACCGTGTGTCTCAGTGCCTGCATCACCGTGTGTCTCAGTGCCTGTATCCCGTGTGTCTCAGTGCCTGTATCACCGTGTGTCTCAGTGTCTGTATCACCGTGTGTCTCAGTGCCTGTATCACCGTGTCTCAGTGCCTGTATCACCTGTGTCTCCAGTGCCTGTATCACCGTGTGTCTCAGTGCCTGTATCACCGTGTGTCTCCGGTGCCTGTATCACCGTGTTCTCAGTGCCTGTGTCACCGTGTGTCTCAGTGCCTGTATCACCGTGTGTCTCAGTGCCTGTATCACCGTGTGTCTCAGTGCCTGTATCACCGTGTGTCTCAGTGCCTGCATCACCGTGTCTCAGTGCCTGTATCACCGTCTCAGTGCCTGTATCACCGTGTGTCTCAGTGCCTGTATCACCGTGTGTCTCAGTGCCTGTCACCGTGTCTCAGTGCCTGTATCACCGTGTGTCTCAGTGCCTGTATCACCGTGTGTCTCAGTGCCTGTATCACCGTGTGTCTCAGTGCCTGTATCACCGTGTGTCTCAGTGCCTGTATCACCGTGTCTCAGTGCCTGTATCACCGTGTCTCAGTGCCTGTATCACCGTGTGTCTCAGTGCCTGTATCACCGTGTCTCAGTGCCTGTATCCACCGTGTGTCTCAGTGCCTGTACCGTGTGTCTCAGTGTCTGTATCACCGTGTGTCTCAGTGTCTGTATCACCGTGTCTCAGTGCCTGTATCACCGTGTGTCTCAGTGCCTGTATCACCGTGTGTCTCAGTGCCTGTCACCGTGTGTCTCAGTGTCTGTATCACCGTGTGTCTCAGTGCCTGTATCACCGTGTGTCTCAGTGCCTGTATCACCGGTGTCTCAGTGTCTGTATCACCGTGTCTGTATCACCGTGTGTCTCAGTGTCTGTATCACCGTGTGTCTCAGTGTCTGTATCACCGTGTGTCTCAGTGCCCGTATCACCGTGTGTCTCAGTGCCTGTATCACCGTGTCTCAGTGCCTGTATCACCGTGTGTCTCAGTGCCTGATCACCGTGTGTCTCAGTGCCTGCATCAGTGTGTCTCAGTGCCTGTATCACCGGTGTCTAGTGCCTGTATCACCGTGTCTCAGTGCCTGTATCACCGTGTGTCTCAGTGCCTGTATCACCGTGTGTCTCAGTGCCTGTATCACCGTGTGTCTCAGTGCCTGTATCACCGTGTGTCTCAGTGCCTGTATCACCGTGTCTCAGTGCCTGCATCACCGTGTCTCCAGTGCCTGTATCACCGTGTGTCTCAGTGCCTGTATCACCGTGTGTCTCAGTGCCTGATACGTGTGTCTCAGCCCGCACCTGATCACCGTGTGTCTCAGTGCCTGTATCACCGTGTGTCTCAGTGCCTGTATCACCGTGTGTCTCAGTGCCTGTATCACCGTGTGTCTCCAGTGCCTGCATCACCGTGTGTCTCAGTGCCTGTATCACCGTGTGTCTCAGTGCCTGTATCACTGTGCAGTGCCTGTATCACCGTGTGTCTCAGTGCTTTATCCCCGTGTGTCTCAGTGCCTGTATCACCGTGTGTCTCAGTGTCTGTATCACCGTGTGTCTCAGTGTCTGTATCACGTGTGTGTCTCAGTGCCATCACGTGTGTCAGTCTGCCGTGTGTCTCAGTGCCTGCATCACCGTGTGTCTCAGTGCCTGTATCACCGTGTGTCTCAGTGCCTGTATCACCGTGTGTCTCAGTTTTATACCGTGTCTGTCTGTTCACCGTGTCTGTATCACCGGTGTCTGCTGTCACCGTGTGTCTCAGTGTCTGTATCACCGTGTCTCAGTGCCTGTATCACCGTGTGTCTCAGTGCCTGTATCACCGTGTGTCTCAGTGCCTGTATCACCTGTGTCCATTGCCAGTCTCACTGTGTCTCAGTGCCTGTATCACCGTGTGTCTCAGTGCCTGTATCACCGTGTGTCTGCGCATGCTGCCAGTGCCTGTATCCCCGTGTGTCTCAGTGCCTGTATCACCGTGTGTCTCGTTGCCTGCATCACCGTGTGTCTCAGTGCCTGTATCTTGTCTCAGTGCTGCCACCGTGTGTCTCAGTGCCTGTATCACCGTGTGTCTCAGTGTCTGTATCACCGTGTGTCTCAGTGCCTGCATCACCGTGTGTCTCGTGCCTGTATCACCGTGTGTCTCAGTGCCTGTATCACCGTGTGTCTCAGTGTCTGCATCACCGTGTTCTCAGTGCCTGTATCACCGTGTGTCTCAGTTGCCTCCCGTGTGTCTCAGTGTCGTATCACCGTGTGTCTCAGTGCCTGTCCCTTGTCTGGTCCAGTGCCTGTATCACCGTGTGTCCAGTGCCGCATGCCGTGCCAGTGCCTGTATCACCGTGTGTCTCAGTGCCTGTATCACCGTGTTCTGAGTGCCTGTATCACGTGTGTCTGTCATACCGTCGCCATGCTGCATCGTGGCCGTGCTGGTCATCACCGTGTGTCTCAGTGCCGCATCACCGTGTGTCTCGGTGCCTGTCTCACCTTGTCTCAGTGCTGTATCACCTCGTCTTTGTCTACTGATATGTGAGGCATTTTGGCGGCCTGCCAGACCTGCTGCAGGCTATCCCTCACCCCCCAAGGCCTGCCAGACCTACTACAGGCTGCTCCTTCATCCCCCACGGCCTGCCAGACCTACTGCAGGCTGTTCCCTCACCCCCCCAGGGCCTGCAAGACCGATTACACATTACCCCAAACGAGAGACCTGCTTGGGCCTACCCTACAGGCTGCCATCCCCAACCTGCCACCACCACTCACCAAGCAGGCTGGTCTCCCTGACCTATACCACACACAAACACACACACACACACACACACACACACAAGAAAGAGAGAGAGAGAGAGACAGAGAGAGAGAGAGGGAGAGTGGGGGATAGAGAAAGAGAGGGGAGAGAGAGAGGGGCACTGCACTAACATGAGGCTCTGGCCGTCACTAATTAAGGACAAGTTTGAAATTTCTGGATGAATTAGGAGACGCGAGTGTTTCAGTCTTCCTCCTCCGTACCCTCCCTCTTGTCCCCCCCCCTCCTTCAATTCCCTACCCCTCCTTCCCTCACTTTTTTCCTCCTTCCAATTCCATCCTTCGTTATTGAAACAGTTTATTGAGCCAGGTAAACACCGATACAGAGGATGATAATACTAACAATATTAACATGGCTGAGAACCTGGGGGGTGGCCCTGAGAGTGGTGGTGGCCCTGAGAGTGGGTGGTGGCCCTCCTAGTGGGTGGTGAGGTGGCCCTGATAGTGGGTGGTGGCCTGATAGTGGGTGGCCCTCCAAGTGTTTGGGTTTTTTTTAGAGAAATGATGGGTGAAGGAAGATTAGAGGTGGGGGAAGGAAGTTATAGTTCGGAAATTGACGAAATTTAGGAGGAGGTAAGAGAGGGCGGGCTGACTAAGGTAATAGTGTGTTAGGGTTGTGTCATGGGTTAGTTATTGTCTGTCGGTACAGGCACTAGACGTCTCACCCTGTCCCATATATGGGTGTTTTGAGGGCCGTTATTTCATATTCCGCCGACCCTACTGAGCGGATGCTGGTCTAGGAGGTTGACTATTGCCTGGCCGTGTAGATCGGGGGTGGTAATGGACCTTTTGAGATTTGGTAACTTTTTGGGAACCATGTATGGTTGTTGTCGTTATCTGGTGGGAGTATTTGAAGGAGTTCTTGCTCTGATCGTTCTATCTTTGTCAGACTCTGCTGGCCAGTGCAGCTGCTGGTTGATGGGTTTTATTCTCAGGTCTCTGTGGTGGGGTGGCCCTGATAGTGGGTGGTGGGTGGTCCTAGTAGGGGTGGTGAGGTGTCTGATAGTGGGTGGTGGGGTGGTCCTGATAGTGGGTGGTGGGGCGGCCCGAGTAGGGTGGTGAGGTGGCCCTGATAGTGGGTGGTGGGGTGGTCCTGATAGTGGGTGGTGGGGCGGCCCTCCTAGTGGGTGGGGATCGTTTTACCTCCAGCTGCCGGCACTGTGATAAGCCGCCCAACTCCGTGTTCCCTGTACCACTACTGGGCGGCCCCACTGTGTGTGTGTGTGTGAAGTGTGCAGCTTTTTATAACCTAACCTAACCTAGTAACGTAACCTAGTAACCTAACCTAGTAACCTAACCTAGCGTAACCTAGTAACCTAACCTAACCTAGTAGCTTAACCTAACCTAACGTTTTAACCTGACCTAACTTAACCAAATCTAGTAACCTAACCTAACCTAACCTAGTAACCTAACCTAACCAAAACACATATTTTTTTTTTCTCCAGATGTTCCTACACGGGGGCTAGTTTATTGTGCACCTCCTTCCATCCTGCGCAAGACGAAGGACTAACAAAGCGACCAACAGGGAAGGAGTTGAGTACATACTGACCCTTCCTGTACTAACTGATTAAGTGTGTCTACAGGACCAGGGATAATGAAGGTGAGTTACGTATAGTGATGAAGGGGGGTAGGAGTCCTTGCTGTGGACGATTCCCACTTGGACGATTCCCACTTGGACGATTCCCACTTGGACGATTCCCACTTTGACGATTCCCACTTGGACGATTTCCACTTGGACGATTATAGCCAACATCATCCACACATGATAGATTATGTGAGGAGTGAATTATAGAAATAAAATAGGAATTATATTAAGTTGAATAACAATAACAGCAATAATAACAATAATAACAATGATAACAACAATAATAATGATAACAACAACAACAATAATAACAATAATAACAATGATAATAATAACTAAACAACAATAATAATAATAATAACAACAATAATAATAATAATAATAATAAATAATAATAACAATAACAATAATAACAACAATAATAATGATAACAACAACAATAATAATAATAATAACAATAATAACAATAATAACAATGATAATAATAACAAAACAACAACAATGATGATAATAATAATAACAAAATAACAGCCATTTCCCTCATACTAACATCTATACGGACATTTTTAAAAACAAATAACAAGCGTTAGAAAAATTATAACAAATAAATAAATAACGTTCCAACACAATACTAATGAACAAAATAGGTAGAGAGAGTAGAGATTTGTGAAAGACTTTTGCCTTAGGGATAGCGGGCCTACAGTAGGCGTCTCCAGGATGTAACAAAACCGATTAAAACATTCCTGGTAGCTTTTTTCTCCTGCACTCCCTCATGATGGATGGTTGGGGGGGCAGGAGATGGGCAAGAAGAGGGGGAGGAAGGGAAGGGCGAAGGGGAGGACAAGGGGGGGGCAAGACGGAGAGGAAGACAAGTTAGTGAGAGGGGAAGGGAGGAGGCAGGGGTCAGATGTTGGGGAATGGAGGGAAAGAGAGGTGGGGGTGGTAAAATGGGAAAGGGAGGGAGGGAAATGATGGTGGTTGAGAGGAAAGGGTTGATGAGGGATGTCACGCCGTGTTTGGGGGGGGGAGAGAAAGATGGGAGGGAAAGAAGGAAGTGGGGAGGAGGGGCGGTGGGTGGGTCATGGTACACGAGTCGGGAGGAAGAAAATGATGGAAAGAGAGAGAGGGGAGGGTAGTGAGGAGGAGAGAAAGAGAGAGAGGGAGGTAGTGAGGCGGAGAGAAAGAGGAAGAAACGGAGAAAGAGATGGTGAAAGAGGACAAAGGAGAGAGAGAGTCACTAGTGACGTTCACTAATGGCTGCCGCCTGGAGAGGATGGCCTGCCTAAGGGTTCAGGTTTAAGGTGAGAAGCGTGCCAACACAACAACCACACTGAAAGTGAACT